TGGACAGAATTCCTACTCCAGTCCTCTGAAGATGCCAGCCACAGAGACTGGCAAAACGTCAGGAAGAACAACCTTCAAAACACAGCCAAAGAGCCCGAAAAACCCACAACAACTATTATTACTTACATTTGTATATCGCTCCTCAATGCCGAAGCACTACTCTGGATGGCTTCAAATAATAAACAAAACAAGATAAAACTAATTATTTAAAACCAGTATAGCAACTAATCCAATAAAGCCAGATGGTGCTAAAGCAATAGAACAAAAAAGTGGCAGACAAAAGCCAGTCAACTAGGGTCAGTGTGGAAAGCCTCCCTGCAAAGCCATGTCTTCAGTTGCCTCCTGAATGTCTATTTTTATTTATATAATACAAACCTTCAGAACACGGCCAAAGAGCCCGAAAAACCCACAACAACCAATATATTTATATAACTTCCTAACAAGCAGAGGTGGCTTTTGTTTACATTAATTGCTGCCCAGCGGCAAGATATTGTCTATACTTACTGCTAAACAGCAACAAGCTTTTGTCTAACCTTTTGTTATCACTTACAAGCAGAAAGAAAAACAATCTGACGTAAACGCATTTACACCAGCAATCCTTAGTTGTCAGTATTTACTATTTTTATATCTCTTATGTAAGAAATGGGGAACAAAACAGAACAGCCAGTTGCCAAAAAGTGTTATTCTTTCAATGACCTTGCTAGTGCTAATTGTAGTAAACAATGTTTCAGTGCTTCAAATTTAAAAGTACTGTACTTTTAAGGTAGTTTAAGGGTTCTTTTGTATCCTCCCCAATAATTGTTTTAACTCTGAAACTGCTGGATAGCTCAGTGGTTTAGGTCTCTGGCTGTGGAGCCAGTGTTTGGGAATTCAATTCCCCACCATGCTTTCTTGAGAGGGGCTGGACTCGATGATCCATCGGGTCCCTCACAGCTTTGCAGTTAAAAGATTACAGTGGTGCCTCGCTAGACAGTTACCCTGCATGACAGTTTTTTTGCTAGACATTGACTTTTTGCAATCGCTATAGCGATTCGCGAAACAGTGATTCCTATGGGGGAATTTTGCTGGACAATGTTTGGTCCCTGCTTCACAAACTGATTTTCGCTAGACGATGATTTTGACAGCTCCCTCTGTGCTCGCAAAACGGGCGTTTTCGGGACCTAAGCTTCGCAAGACAGCGATTTAAACAGCTGATCGGCGGGTCGCAAAGCAGCTTTCCTATGGCCGATCTTTGCTAGACAACGACGATTCTTCCCCATTGGAACGCATTAAACAGGTTTCAATGCATTCCAATGGGGAGATGCTTTTTGCTAGACAATTATTTCGCTAAACAGCGATTTTAGTGGAACGGATTAACATCGTTTAGCGAGGCACCACTGTATTTTAAAAGAACAGTCCGGGGAGGAAACCCTGACAAGAGGATGCAAAAGAGGCAGGCTGAAATGGATGGGTGTGGTAGGGGCAGATTACAGCAAAGGAGTGATGGGGGGAATATATAGAGACTTTACTACGCGTCCCTTTATTTCCCCCCCCCCTTCATTCATACTTTTCTTCTATTCCCCTTTACATTTCACACCTCTTCCTTGCTTCTTTTCATGTCTTGGCCACTTCCACTCCTGCCTGCAATCTTGTGCACCTAGGGGAAGAGGTTTTTGGATTACCTTTTCTGTTTTTCTCCATTTCCTTTCCATGCCAAAGAAAAGTCCACGTCTAGATGCCTTACCGAATTTCTCTGTAACGTTACCATCCAGGAGAATCTGCCATCTTCCCCCAATTCCTTGGTGACTTCTATTTCACCGGTTCCTATTTGGAGTTCATGCTTGTTGTGCTTAATGGCCATCCTTTCTGGAGTTCAATAGACCCTGCTTTTAACATAAAAGTCTCGGCCACAATTCCCCTGCTCCAGGAATTGACTTCTGCCCTGGCTTGAAATGTCCTCCTGACCCCTGCAAATAGAGGGTGGGGGTCCAATGGCCCACCAAGCAATGCAATGCAATACCACCATCAGGAGTCTGTTAGCAACCTGAGTTTGATCCCGCCAGGTTCAGGTAGCTGGCTCAAGGTTGACTCAGACTTCCATCCTTCTGAGGTAGGTAAAATGAGTACCCAGCTCACTGGTATGCAAATTGTTATTTGCATAATTATGTTGTAAACTGCCCAGAGAGTGCTATAATATTATGGGGTGATACATAACAAGTTATGTTTAAGCCTTTTGAGTTGATGTTGTAAACTGCCCAGAGAGTGCTATAACATTATGGGGTGATGCATAACAAGTTATGTTTAAGCCTTTTGAGCTGAAGCAAAGCAAAGGGGTGGGTGCTTTCCATTCTTTTCTGCCTATGGGACAGCTTCCTGCTTCATTAATTAGTCAGAGGAGGACCGCCTGTGGGGGTCATGTCCCGCACTTGGGAAAATGGTGCCCAAACTGCAGCTTTCTGAAGTTGACCAGAAGTAGTGCAATCCCTTCTTCGTTAGGCACCCTTTAGTCTCAAACCAAACTGCAGCTTTCTGAAGTTGACCAGAGGTAGTTCAATCCCTTCTTTGTTAGGCACCCTTTAGTCTCGAAAGACTATGGTAACGTGCTCTGAATAGAAGTCTTGGACCAGCATCTAGTGTGGCTGAGGAGGCCAGTTCGAGAGTGACAATCCTTCCAAACTGAAGACAAATATAGTCTGTCCCCTGTCCAGCTCCCTGATTTTGCTGTTTTCAGGACTTCCTCTTTGCCTCGGCCTGCTGGACAAGGGTCTCTTCAAATTGGGAGAGGCCGTGTTGCACCGCCTGCCTTCAGGCTGAACGCTCATATGTCAGGGTTTCCCATCTGTTGAGGTCCATTCCTAAGGCCTTCAGATCCCGCTTGCAGATATCCTTCTATCGCAGCTGTGGTCTCCCTCCTAGTCATAAAGGAGTCATAAAGGAATTGTAGTTGGAAGGATGAAGGAGCCATGCCAGAAGGAACAAGCACTGCCAGCTTCTTTTCCAGTGCAGGAGGCAAGCGCAAGGCAACATAGAGCTGTTAGAGATCACACATCACGGGGCTGTGCTTAGGAACTGACTGCCACCATTGCTTATTGTTGCAATGTGGGGGTATATCAAGGTGCATCACCCATGTTGGGCTGAATATGGCAGTTGGTGGTCTGTTGGCATCTGTTCATCTTCTTCCCAATTCGCTGAATCATTCTTCTGTGATGACCTTCTGAGGCAGGAGAGGCAGGTGAGCAGGTACCTATCTGTTGGGTCACGATGAGCATCTGATGGCGGGCTCTGGAACATCTTGTGGCAGTGGGGCCTCTTCCAGTTCAACAGCTTAATTGACATCTACATATCTGCCCTTTTCTCTTGGTATACTGTTCCCGCCTTCTACATTCTCCTCTTCCTGTTCTCCCTTTAACTGAGGTCATGAAGGCACCGACAGTACTGTGTCTAGGAGAGGCTGTTGTATTGATCTTCCTATTTAGAGCTGTCTTAACATAGTCCCTCTTTTATCAGCCTTCTTTTGTCCATCCGAGTGAACCACATGTCTTATGCTGACGTCACCTGTTTTCAGATTCATAACTCTGAAGCAGACCAAAGTAAAATTGTTCAGTTCTAGAATCCAGTTTGTGCCTTTTTAGGAATATAAGAATACACAACACACTGAAAAACTCTAATGAGTGTTACATTTGGCTTTTTGGCACGCCACAGTTCAGATGGTGTTTTGTGGTG